TTCTTCCATCTCTCTTCTCTTTTCTCTTCCCTTCTTTCTTCCATCTCTCCCTCCTTCTCTTCTCCTTCCCTTCTTCTTTCTTCCATCTCTCCCTCCTTCTCTTTTCCTTCCCTTCTTCTTTCTTCCATTTCTCCCTCTTTCTCTTCTCCTTCCCTTCTTCTTTCTTCCATCTCTCCCTCCTTCTCTTCTCCTTCCCTTCTTCTTTCTTCCATCTCTCCTCTCCTCTTTTCTCTCCTCTTCTTCTGAGAGATGTTTTTTGTCCCCTTTGACAGCTTGCAATCCGAACGCCTGCCGGGCCATGGGCCGGGGTCTCCAGCCGAAGGGGGTCCGCGTGAAGGAGGTGGCGGACTTCAAGGTTTACACCAAGGGAGCCGGCACGGGTGAACTGAAGGTCTTGGTCAAGGGACCAAGTAAGTTAACAAATTTTTTTCTCTCTCCTTACCTTACAAGAAATCTAATCGTGGTCTCCAAGTTGCAAAGAATGTTACCCTCAACTTAACAATCACAACTGATCCCACCTGTAGCCAAATGATTTTAAAATCACATGTTTTTTTTTTAAGCTGGGGGAAAAAAAAGCTACGGCTGGTTTCGTAAGTTGCTTTCATAAGTTGCTACCGAAGCTTGATTCTTCACCAGGGATCTCCTTGTGGTCTCCTTTCCTTACTTAGCAATGGTCCAGAACGAATCATAAGGCTCACTTGTTTGTACAGGGGGATGCTCTACAGGGCTGGGATTTAAATTTCTTAACAACTGGTTCTGTTCGGCCTAATTTGTGGGTGTGGCTTAGCGATCATGTGACTGGGTGGATGTCACTTGCTGACTGGGCATGGCTTGGTGGTCATGTGATTGGCTGGGCGTGGCTCGTAAGGAAATATTATAAATATTTATGTAAATATTGAATTTTTTTTTTATTAAAAAACAGCAACTTTTACCCCAAATCAGGCAAAGCAGGCAGGCAGATTGAGTTGCTTGCAGAATCACAGATCCACTCAGAGATCTACCTTTCTGCAATCTGCTACCTGAGTCTGTCACATAAAATTTGCTTACAAGCAAACTCATAGAATTTGCTAGCAAGCAAACGCACAAAATTAACTCACAACACACCATGTATGTAAATATTTAATTTTTTATTTCAAAAAAAAAAGAACAACTTTTGCCCAAAATCAGGCAAAGCAGGCAGGCAGATTGAGTTGCTCACAGAATCGCAGTTTCACTCAGAGATCTACCTTTCTGCAATCTGCTACCTGAGTCTGCACTGAAACATAGAAGCTTCAGTCCTAAGGAAGGTTCAGCTCTGCTTTTAGATTAGCTAGAAAGCAAAAAATCCCAACATTTCCTGCTTTCTAGCTAATCTAAATCTCCCAGCAAAGCAGAACAGCTGATAGTCGGGGAGGGGAGGAAGGAAAAATAGCAACTTACCAAACACAGGTGAGTTGGATGGCGCCTATGCCAGGTAAGGAGTGAGTGGGTGGGACGGAGAGGGGCGGGGCCAGCCAGTGGCATGATTTGCCAGTTCTCCGAACTGTGCAGAACTGTAACAACCGGTTCTACAAAACTGGTCCGACCAGGTAGAATCCCACCCCTGATGCTCTAATAAAGTTGTGTTTTTCACCCTAGAAGGAACAGAGGAACCAGTGAAGGTGCGAGATGTCGGCGATGGGGTTTACGAGTGTGAATATTACCCCAAAGTGCCTGGAAAATACGTGGTGTCGATTACGTGGGGCGGACACGCCATTCCGAGGAGGTAGGCCACTCCACGGCGGCTATCGACGTGGCAAACGTGGCCCTTTATGGACCTCCAACCAGGAACATCTGTGAGACCCGCTACCAGACTATTGGAGCTGCGCCCCCTTCGTCTTACGCTTCTAGCGCAGTGTTCCTCAATCTTCCCAGAGTTGGGAGGGAGCTTAGAGGCCATCTAGTCTAGCCCCCCCCACCCCCACCCCCAGTAAGGATAAGATCCGGTGGAGCAGCCCTGAAAAAAGGGCCATCCTCCACATTTCCACCTCAAGGGGATCTGGCTTCCCCCACAGGCCTGTTTTTGATTTCACAAATTATAGTTTAGTAAACAGGGTCGAGCATAATGTCCGCACTCAGACGTGAAGGAGTGTGTGTTTTCGTTCTCCTGCTTAGTCTTTTTCAACCTTGGCTAGTTTTAAAGGGGTGGGACTTCAACTCCCAGAATTCCCCCCGCCAGCAAGGATTCTGGGAGTGGAAGTCCGCTCATCCTAAAAGCTGCTGAAGTCGAGAAACTCCGTTCTAGTGGCTGTGAGTTCCACAGGTGATGCTCAGAGAGTGTAAGCTGGTGCAGAACCTGATCCAGAGGGCTGTTTGGGGGCTGCAACTGGAGGAATTCAGAGAGGGAGATTCTGGCTTGCAGGATAGAATCTGTTTATTTGTTTATTTTTTTCATCTTGCCTTTATTATACTGATAAATAACTCAAGGCGCGGTGAGCAAATCCAATATTTCTTCCTCTTCCTCTTTTCCTCACAACAACACCCCTGGAAGGTGGGCCTGAGCTGAGAGAAAGAGACTGGCCCAAATTCACCCTGATGGCTTTTATATCTAAGGTGGGAATAGAACTCACTGTTTCCTGGTAATCGGCCCAAAGTCACCCAGCTGGATTTCCTGCATTAAGACAATACTAGAACTCACTGTCTCCTGGCAATTGGCCCAAAGTCACCCAGCCAGCTTTCATGCCTTAAGACAATACT